AGTAGTTTATACCTCCCACGGCTGCTGACCCAAGCCACTCACTCAGTAGCCTGTCTGTTCCTCAAGTTCCTCATCTGTAAAATGGGCATATTATACCACAAAGTCGGAGTGTCGGTGTGAGTTCAGACCCAAGGCCACCTGCACAAGAATTGCCTGGCCCAAAGGAAGTGCTACAGAAAAAGTGCCTTTTGTTACAGTGGGTCTAAGATGTGCCCTTTCCTGCTTTATATTCCAGTAACCGTGAACCTGTAAAAACAAACAAGCAAGCACTTAGTGGACTTGATGGGTTTCTCGGGAATTATTAACTTTTCAGATTCCTGGGTCCTCTTACTCTCCCTAGCGCTGCAGGGGTGGAGGGTGATTAACTCCTGAGAATATGAGTCAGGACATGGGTGTCCCCCTCCATTGCTGGTTCTAGAAGGACTTAACTGATAACGTTATTTTTTCCAGATGCTGAGCCAAAATATCTGATCGTTGTGCGGGCTGCTCCACCTCCAAGTCAAAAGAAGTCATGCTCAGGTAGAGTCATTTTTGTTAATGTTAAAGAGAGAGAACATTTTTGTTTGGTTGTTTTTATGAGAGAAGGACAAAGGCAAGCATGGCTAGAACGTTCAGCAGAGTCTCATGCCATAATCCCTGCACACACACTTGTCAGTCTTTCTGTCAGCCAGGATCATGGGAATACATGCCTGGCATGTACAAGTCAACTCAGGAACCAAACCCTGATCTCCCTTATGGCTTCCAACAATACAGAGCATTGTGCTACCACCACACCACCTTGGCTGGGTCTATTTTAACTTCAAATCATGACTTTTTGTCTTTTTTCTACCTTGGAGACCAAATATTGTGGGGGGTGCCTTGGGAATGTAGAGTACAAGTTGTAAGCCCGAGGTCAACAGTTTACCTTGCTGGAGAAGTCACATAGCCTGGTGGTAGAGACTGCTGGGGTTCTTATCCTGGTGTCGCCATTTGCAAACTGCAGGGATTTGCATGAGTTATTGAACCTCTCTGTACCTTGGTTCTATTACGTGGTAAGGTTACTGGGAGGATTAGATGAGTTCATGACAGAGCCTGGCCCGTAATCAGTACTTGCTTGGGATTAGCTCCTGTTAGTCTGCTTCTGTTTTGCATGTGTGCATTCATACCCACTATGCTGCCTTTCAGATTTTTAAGAGAAGGTTAAAATCCTACATGGTTAAATTCGTTAATAAAACTTTTCAGGTAAAATAAGCAAACTATTGCTGCAAGGAGTGGTAGAAGCTATCCCTATGCTGTCATAACCTGACGTTGCATCTTTCTAAGTCTGTAGTTTGAATAAATCAGAAAGTTGTAGTTTTTTGTTTGTTTGGTTTTGGCCATAGGATGTGTGTGCTTGCCAGAGGGGAACACAGAGAGACAAGGAAAATGAGAAATCACTTCCCCCTAGGGACCAGCAGTTTGCATAATGGCTATGTCGCTGGCCTCCCATGTAGTTGACCACGGTTCAAGTCCTGGACCCGGTGGCTTAAACTCACACTGGACACGTGTGTGTGTGTGCCCATGATCCCAAGAGGAGAATGGAGGAGAAGGGATTGCGGCATGGCCATCCCCCTGGGGGGTGATTTCTCACTTTCTATCTCTCTGTTTCTCTATGTCTTTCTGGTGAGCACACACACCCTATAAAAAAAAAACCTCTCCAAAAAAAAAAAAAAAGATAAGAAATCACTCTTCCCTACTCCCCAGGGAGGTGGCCATGCCTTATCCTTTCTTCTTTCAGGATTTTGAGCACGCACATACACACGTGCTGGGATAATTCTCAAGCTGCTGAGTCCAGGACTCAAACAGCAAGGCCAACCACATGCAATCGAGCACCTTAACCTCCATGCCACCTGCTGGCTCCTGAAAGGGAAATTTTAATCACTCCTTACAATCTGTTAGAGTTATCCTGGCAGCTTTCCACATACCTTAAAATGAACATACTCAGTATTTCAAGATTGTATTTCAAAATAATGAACATTAAAGTCAAACATGAATATGGGTTCATCTGGTTTCATATGAATATTCATGGAACTGTTTCTTGTAACAATTATAATACAAATATATAAAATACGTAAGAAAAATCAAAAGAGTGATTATAACTTAGCACTTTATAACTTCATTTTATTTCTTTTCAAGGTTGCTATGACACTGTTCTTAGAAATCTTCACTTCATTATAACTAGCTCAGGAAAATCTTTCATCTTGCTCAGGCTGTAATGTCCACCATTCCTTTCGGGCCACAGAGACAATTTTTGTTTTAGTAATCTGCATTTGGAAATGATGTGATAATTAATGTATTAAATTCTATTCATTTTATATTTGTATCTTCCATAGATTTTAATTTTTAATCATTTTTATATTGAGATACAAAATTAGTGCAATATTTATTTTATAGTTCTACAAGCCTTAGGCTCCCTTTGGAAAAAGAAAAATGTATCTCTCTTTTCTAAGAGACTGTCTCCTCCTACATTGTGAGTTAAGCCTATGATGCAGAAAAGGAAAACTAAATTATAATTGAGAAGACCTAGATTTAAGTTTTGATCTTCTTCTCGTAACTTTGGATACCCTTGAAACTTCTCTGGGCCATTTTTCATCTGTAACATGAAGCAATTGCATTACATAAAGTGAAAATCAACCTGGGGACAGAGAAGAAATATTCGAATCACTCCCCAGAGTTTTTTTCAAGTTATATATACCTCTTACCCTCACTCCAGATTCGGATGCTCTCCTTGGGAGTCAGACATGGACCTCTAGATTCATAATTAGATGAGGCACTATCTCACAAGGCAACCTGAAAAAATTTAGAGAAGGATAAAAATAATTGCAATCAAATAAACAATAACTACCCAAGAAAATTATTTCAAACAGCTTTTAAAAATCAGCCGTCCTGGGACCAATAGATGGAATAATGGTTATGTTACTGGACTCCTATGTGGTTGACCACGGTTCAAGTCCCAGACCCGGTGGCTTAGAACTCACGCCAGGTGCATGTGTGTGTGTGTGCGTGCCCAGGATCTTAAGAGGAGAACGGAGGAGAGGGAATTGCAGTGCGACCATCTCCCCAGAGGGTGATTCCTTGCTTTCTGGCTTTCGGTCTCTCTCTGTCTCTCCAGCGAGAGCATGAGCCCTATAATAAAAATCTCTCTTTAAAAAAAAAAAATCAACTATCCTACAGTAAGGCAATTTTTCACCACTAGTTTGTACATATTCTGGCTCTGAATGTTTCTTTTTATAAAAACAACTTACAGGGACCAGCAGTTAGTGTAATGGCTATGTTGCTGGACTCCCACATAGTTGACCACGGTTAAAGTCCTGGACCCGGTGGCTTAAACTCATGCCGGGCACGTGTGCATGTGTGCCCAAGATCCCGAGAGGAGAATGGAGGAGAAGGGATTGTGGTGTGGCCATCCCCCCTGGGGGGGTGATTTCTCACTTTCTGTCTCTCTGTCTCTCTCTTTCTGGTGAGTGCACGCACCCTATAGCAAAATCCTCTCCAAAAAACAAAACAACAACAAAAAAAACAACTTACAGAACAGCTAATACATAACAAGGTTGGCACAGTTTTCAATAACATTTGATTCCAATCATAACCAACAGACTCATTGAAGGGGTACCCTTCTACCTACTTTAGAAAATGGTCACAGACACTCACCTCATCAGATTAAGTAAGACAACACAAGTTCTTCCTACAAAAAGGAAAGCATACATAGTCTCATGGACTAAGGGAGATTTCAATGACAATACAAACCATGCATGTTTCATGCCCTGTTGTTAGGCTTTCTTTAGAATTTTTATTATATTTACCCTGAATTTTTTCTTATGCGCCAGCATTTGTCCCAATGATCATTGCCCCTTTTTTCTTTTTCTTTCTCTTTCTTTCTTTCTTTCTTTCTCTCTCTCTCTCTCTCTCTCTCTCTCTCTCTCTCTCTCTCTCTCTCTCTCTCTCTCTCTCTCTCTCTCTCTCTCTCTCTCTCTCTCTCTCTCTCTCTCTCTCTCTCTCTCTCTCTCTCTCTCTCTCTCTCTCTCTCTCTCTCTCTCTCTCTCTCTCTCTCTCTCTCTCTCTCTCTCTCTCTCTCTCTCTTTCTTCCTTCCTTCCTTCCTTTCTTTCTTCCTTTCTTTCTTCTTTCTTACTCTCTTTCTTTCCTTTATTTTTTGGAGAGGTTTTTGCTATAGGGTGCATGTGCTCGCCAGAAAGACAGAGAGAGACAGAGAGATAGAAAGCGAGAAATCACCCCCCAGGGCGGATGGCCATGCCACAATCTCTTCTCCTCCATTGTCCTCTCAGGATCTTGAGCATGCACGCACATGTGCCTTGTGTGAGTTTAAGCCACTGGGTCTGGGACTCGAACCACGGTTGACTACGTGGGAGTCCAACGACATAGCCATTATGCCAACTGCTGATCCCATCATTGCCCATTTCTACAGTTTCAAATAATTCTAAAACTGTAAATGACTACTTCTATACATACTTGAAAACATCTATAGTAGTTCATCAGCATAAATCTAGGTGTTGCCTAAATATAATGAGTCCTAAACCACTATGCTTCTTATATTACTCCTATGCTTACAGCATTAAAAAAATATGAGTGTACTTTTTCTATTTGGGTATTCATTGTAAAATATACACTTATTATAACAATATTTTGCAAGAGATTTTATGTTTCTAAATAGGTTATGAAAAAACATTTATAAATAACAACCTATATAATAAGGATTCTGTGTTCATTTTAGATATCATCTCATACTAATTTATAGTCCTGGGGAAAAAAATGAACATTTTTCATTTTATTTGTAAAATAAACTAAATGAGCGATCAATGTGTGCACACATCCACACATACACATACAAGCATGTGTATGTGTATTTATTTCACTGATCATAGCCAAGACCACCATACCCATCCCTGACCCACAGGAAAATCAAAACTAGGTATAGTTGGGTACATATATACTGTACATACACATCTAAGTCTAAAAAGAGATATTTCATTTGATTCATACTTAAATTCCTGGGCAAAAATTAGTAATGTCTGTAAGGTATATGAAAAATAACTTGATTTTTTTTTCATATTGTTTGTGATTTTGCCAAGTCACTTTTATGCATTTTTATCCAAACGATGAAAATATACTAAGTGCTTCCAGAATCAGTCTGTATGCTCCTCCGCAGGTAAATCTCGTCCTCGCAAACCTCTCCAGCTGGTGGTTGGTACTCTGACTCCAAGCTCAGTCTTCCTGTCCTGGGGTTTCCTCATCAACCCGCACCACGACTGGACGTTGCCAAGTCACTGTCCCAATGACAGGTAATTCATCCTAATGAAAGATTTTACTTTATATCTTAAAAATTAGCAATTGCTTTTAACTGTCATCATCTACATACTGTAGAAAAAATGTATTATATAAATATATACGGTTGTATAAAGACCATTGACATTTACTTACCATCTAATAGTAGCTGTCCAACCTTTTTTAAGTGTGAGGGGAACTAGCTTTTATAAGCTAGAGATCCAACCCTAAAGAGAATTATCTACCTGAATAGAAAACACATACAAGTATCTCCCTGAATCCCAGTAGAAAACCAGGAGGGAGAAAGAGCCTAGTAGCGAAAGGGCATCATCCAGGATAAGTGTAATGAAAGCTCAGAGGGAGGGGAGAGAAGACAGTAAGGGAAGACTGCTAAAGTTGGAAAGTTGATTGGAAAAGGACAGATATTTGATAATTAGGTGCTTGAACGGGTAGTTCTCAAAGTGTGGTCCCCAAACCAGTCAGTCAGTCTCACTATTATTCATAAAAAATGCAAATTCTCAGCTCACCCCCTCCCTCAGGTATACTATATCAGAAATTCCTTGGAGGGGAACCCAGCCATCTGTGTTTTACAAGCATTCCAGGTGGTTCTGATGCCCACTGAGGTTTGAGAATCTCTTTTTTTGTTTTGTTTTTAGAGAGAGAGATTTTTTACTATAGGGAATCTGCGCTCACCAGAGACAGAAGGCAAGAAACCACCTGCCAGGAAGTGATGGCCATGCCACACTTCCTTCTCCTCCATTCTCCTTGGGGTTTTGGGCACACATGCACATGAGTCTTAAGGCATGAGTTTTAAGCTGCCAGGTCCAGAACTTGAACTGCGGTCAACCAAGTGATAGTCCAGTGACATAACCATGGACACCTGCTGTAGAAAACTGGTGAAAGATATGGAGAGAGTTAGGCAGAGGAAAAATCACAAAGTAGAAAATGAAGCTACCACCTTCTCTAACAGGATAAATAAGAACATAGAAATAAGTTTTTAAATTACTGAAATTCATTCATTTATTTGTCCTTCCACTGTAGGCATGTAGCTAGGCAGGATGCCAAATGCTAAATAATTATTCTCTAAATTGCTTTTAAAATGACATTTACTAATCATACATATTTACTATATTACTTCGAAATTCAGAAATTTTCTTCTGGACAAACATTCAAGATTTCCAAACTGTAACAGTTATTTCAAGTAGTTTTGTATCTTAAAAATACTCAAAATGGTTTTCAAATTTTAGAATTTTTTTTGTTTTCTTATAAAAAAAATCCTTACTGAGGTATAATTTAAACAAGGTAAAGTATACAGATTTTAAGTGTCGAGTTGGTGTTGTAACAAATGCACATAACCATGCATCTTATACCCATTTAGAAACAGAACATTTTTATCACTCCAGAAATTACTTTCCTTCAGAAGCAAGCATTGGTTTGATTTATATACTATAGATTAATTTTGTCTACCCTAGACTTACATAGTACATTTTTTTTAATATAAAGCTTTTGTAGACATATGCTTTAATTTATCTCGGATAAACATGTAAAACTGAAATTGCTGGATTACAAGGAGGATGCATATTGAACTATTTTTTGCCCAGTTTTTCCATCCACATTCTCACAAGCTATGAATGGGAGTTCTGGTTGCTCTACATCCTTACCAGTATTTTATGTCATCAGAATTTTTCGTTTTAGTTATCCTTGTAAAGTATCGGGTTGTCAGAAAACACATGATGTATTTTTTCTATGCAAAAATGTATTGTGACTTTCCTGACAACCCAATAGTACCTTGTTCAAGTTTTAATATGTATTTCTCTTATGCCAAGGATATTGAGTAATTTTTCATGTATTTTTGGTCATTTGCATATATTTTATAGTGCTTTATTTATTGTTATTTCTCTAAATTGAACTAAAAGACTTTTAAAAGTATTTATAACTTTCAAAAATACCTTTCACATGACTTTGATTAGGAAGTCCAGACTAAAGAAAAAAATCAAGTTTTCCTTCATATGTCTATGGTTCTCAAGGGATAAAAACTTGGAAAAAGGCATTTAGAAGATATTTTCAAAATCCAACTTTTTGAAAAAACAATTTTGAAAAGTTTCAAAGAATCTGAAATATTCCTTATTTCACCCACTACTAAGCCCTTGGTTTGCTTTGTTTGGACAATGAACTCTTAAAAGAACATGGATTCTTGTGATAATTCCAGTTTTTTTATAGACTGGTCCAGGTTACCAATGCTGAGGAAATAAATATTTGTGAATTACTGATTTTCTCTTTCCACTTAAAAAAAAATCCCTTATTAAAAAGAGAGAGAAAGAGAGAGAAATGAGGGAGGGAAGAAAGAAGGAAATTTGGTAGACATATAGCAAAATACAACTTGATTCTAATGGCTACTCAGCTTTCTTGGTATGTCTGTGAAGTTACTATATGTCAACAGGATCGGTAACCTGGAAAATTCATACAGCACAATTTGGATATAATTTCCTTCTCTGCCCTCAAGTCTTTCCTAATTGTATTTGGTCCCATTGGCCCTTCCTTGAAAGGATTTATTTGGCAACTGATTCTAAGTGATAGACGTCACGTGGCTTGACAGCACAAGGAGAAAATAAACACAGAGAAAGTCAGGACAGGTGACTTAATGGAGCTAGGGTTTTAACCCAGGCCAGGCTAGCCAGGCCACACATGCATCTTGCCCTCACCCCTTGCTTACTTCTCTCCTTAACTAGATTAGTGTCATGCACATCAATCACACTATTCGGACTTGATCATTATGATTTGATGAAAGTTCTTTGAAAGATTCAGTAATAATATGTAAAGATGCTTGCATGTTTTCAAACCTGGGAGAAGTAGAAGAATCAAGGTATTCTTTTACTATTTTTTTTTTTTGAGAGATTTTCACTGTAGGGCGCGTGCGCTTGCCAGACAGACAGAGAGAGACATAGAGACAGAAAGCGAGAAATCACCCCCCAGGGGGGATGGTCACGCCACAATCCCTTCTCCTCCATTCTCCCTCGGGATCTTGGGCACGCACGCACACGCGCCCGGCGTGAGTTTTAAGCCACCGGGTCCGGGACACAAACCGCGGTCGACTACGTGGGAGTCCAGCGACATAGCCATTACGCTAACTGCTGGTTCCCACTATTTTTTAAAGGTTTTTGCTATACGGCTCATGTACTTGCCAGAGAGAGATAAGGAAACAGTGAAAAGAAAAGTGAGAAATAACTCTCCAGACGGATAGCTACACTGCAATCCATTCTCTTCCATTCCCCATGCATCCAGAGTGATTTTCAAGCTGCCAAGTCTGTGACTCAAACCACGGTTGGCCATGTAGGAGTCCACTATGCCACCTGCTGGCCCCACATCCTGGTATTCTTAAGCAAAATAGGAAACTGTTAGAACATGACTTAAAGGGAAGAATTACACAGTAAGAACCAAAAGAAACATTTGGAGTACTTGTAGATTTTACTCATCATGTCTCCTGTTTCCTTCGTTAGCACAGTTAATAAAGTGCTGATTTTAAAGGCTCTGTGGTGTTTGAGAAAAAAATAACAGTCCTTATTTAAAAGCTCTGGAAGTTGTACACTTGTGAGCACCCAAATAAATTCACCAGAACTGTACATGACCATAATAAAAGCAGACCTGGGGAGAGCTACCCTCACATGCTGCTCATGCAGATTTATTTATTTCATTTATTATTATTATTTTAGAATTTAGACTAACCCAATGGATTAGAATAAGCAATAGCTACAGGGATGATTACTTCTTGAAAACTGGAAGATTAATACAGCTGAAGTTTTCCTTCAGAAATACCATTTTACAAAACCTCTGGAATCTGAATGCCCCAGCTTGCCACAAGGGACACCAAATGGTTTCACTGGCTGAACTCTAATATTTGGCATCTAATATTTGTAAAGTCCCTGATTTTAAAAAAGAAAGTTACTTCACATTGATTTGGAAAGCCTCATTTATCCTATGAGAATCATTTATTAGAAAAGTTTTTTTCTTTATACTTTTGACCCTATATCAAAGCTATTATACAATGAGTCTCTGTTTTTTTGTTTTGATGGAATGACACTTGATAATTTGTGGCACATTCCTATTCCTAATTTCTCTTTTTAAAAAATTACTTTATTTTAGTTTTATTTACTATTATTATTTTATTTGACCAGAGAGAAACAGACAGAGGGAAAATCAGAAAGCAAGCCACTAGGTCTAGGACTCAAACCATGGTCAGCCCTGTGGGAGTCCAGCACTTCAACCACCATGCCACCTGTTGCCCCCATCCATTTCTATTTTCATAGAGTTCATATTGGTCTCCCATGTTTTTAGATCCTTTTCTGAGTTCATTTGAAGAATAGATATGCTTCATTAACAGTTCTTATCCTTATGGGCTTTGAACAGAAGAGTATAGACATTTGCCCTCAATATATCTAAGGTCAGAACAAAGCTTTCCAAACTGGCCCAGATGAAGAATAAAACATGTTTTTAACTAAAATTTATTTCACCAATAATTGCTTATTTTTTCCCCACAACATGTTTCCAACTTGTTAAAGCGTTCAAGAATGCTTTAGTTCCCAGTCCTTGGCCAACTTATTAAAACTTTATGATTCATTTAAAAATCACTTTCCCATTTTCTAGCACATTCATGTTGTGTTTATTCTTACTGTAGAATGAGGGCACTTCCATTTGACCAATCTAGAGTAGGCCCTCGTCTATTAATTTTTCCCCCCAAGTTCTCAAGAAGTGGGTATTCTCAAGGTCTGTGAATCTTCCCGTGGTGGAGCCCAGTGCCTTTGCTACTCATTTGTTTGCCATGTAAGTTTTAAGTTTGTGAAAGCAGGGCCTATGTATATCTTGACCACCATATTGCACCAGGCCAGCCACAGGTGCATAGTAGGCCTTGGTGAATACATGCTGAATAAACACATAGTAAAATGTCCAGTTTTTGCTTTTATGTGTTACCATTACCTTAAAATCAATATGACAGCACCAAACGATATATTGGGTTGTCTAG